CTGACAGGCCCATGATGTAGCAGGCTGCTTTAGCCTGGCTGGGCCCACTGCGCCATGGGCCCCTGCCTGAGGGATTCTGTTTAACATTCCATTTAATGGTTAACTTTGTAACTGGGATTTTACGTCCCTAGATGGATGGGCAAAAAAGTAATGAGATTGTGTTATTTCATAAATATACATGATTCACTATTTTTTGGCTACTCCATTTTCTGTTGTCAAGAATTGGCATCTGTATAAGTGTTTATAAGCCTTAGTAAAGCCTTAGAATTCCTCATAAATGTACAATTTAGTTATTTTCCTTGATTATTAAGAACATAAGAATGGCCATACTGGGTCATACTACAGGTCCATCCAGCCCAGTATCCTGTCTGCCTTTGTTACCTATATAGTAAGGATGTTAAATATTAGTTAATTTACTAGTTGAGTAGTTGATGGGATTTCCATTGACTACTCTCCTAGTTGATGAACATTTCAAAGGAGGAATGTGGAAATGCCTAAGAGCCCCTACTGGGGCTCTTGTACATTTCAGAGGAGGAATGCGGAAGTCCGCGTGCAGCCTGTGGCCAGTGGGAAGTCCTGTGGACTTTGGGCTGCATGTAGGCATGCCAGTTTTGAAATGTACAAGAGTTCCTAGCAAGGGCTCTTGTGCATTTCAAAGCGGAAGTGCCCTCGTGGAGCCCAGGGTCAGCGGGAGACTCAGAGTCCCCTGCTGATCCCAGGCTCCATATTGTGCTGCTGATTTGAAATGCCACATGGAGCCCGGGGTCAGCTGGGGGCGATCCTGGGCTCTGTGCGTCATTTCAACGGAACCCGGGATTAGCTGGGGACACCCCAGCTGACTGCAGGTTCCGAGCGGCATTTCCCCAGAACCCAGGGTCAGCTGGGGATTCCCCAGATGATCCCAGGTTCTGTGCACAGCCTGGGATCAGATGGGTAGTCCCCAGCTGACACCAAGCTCCACATGGTGCTGCCACCTTGAAATGCTGCCTTGGCGTTTCAGAGGCAGCACTGCATAGCTGAGCCCAGGGTCTCAGGCTGATCCCGGGCTCAGCTGCAAGTACCCCTCTTCCCCCTCTCCCGCCTTGCTGCCTCTGTCTGATAGAGGCAGCAAGGGGGGCCAGGAATTGACTAGTCGACTGTCTAACCAGTAAGAATTTGCTTATCGGATAGTCGACTGGTCTTTAACATCCTTACTTTATAGAATCAGAGGGGTAGCCGTGTTAGTCTGAATCTGCAAAAACGACGAGGAGTCCTGTGGCACTTTACAGACTAACTGAAGTGTAGGAGCATAAGCTTTCGTGGGCAAAGACCCACTTCGTCAGATGCATGTAGTGGAAATTTCCAGAGGCAGGAATAAATATGCAGGCCAGGATCAGGCTGGAGATGACCAGGTGGATCCAATCAAGGAGGATGAGGCCCACTTCTAGCAGCTGATCTGGAGGTGTGAATTCCAAGAGAGCAGAAGCTGCATTTGTAGTTGGGGAGCCATTCACAGTCTTAGTTTGACACAATCAACTCTGGATTAAACAATCTAAACTAAAGTTTGACACTAAAAACTAAAGTTTGACACTATCTATACTAAAGTTTGACACAATCAACTCAGCTGCTAGAAGTGGGCCTCATCCTCCTTGATTGGATCCACCTGGTCATCTCCAGCCTGATCCTGGCCTGCATATTTATTCCTGCCTCTGGAAATTTCCACTACATGCATCTGACGAAGTGGGTCTTTGCCCACGAAAGCTTATGCTCCTACACTTCAGTTAGTCTATAAGGTGCCACAGGCCTCCTCGTCGCTTTTACTTTATAGAGCATCCCAAAATAAGGCAATGAAGTTGAATACATACAAGTTGATTATATTCTTTCTTTTCTTTTTTCTGTGCTACTGTCCTAAAGGCCACAGGATACAGTCACAGTTTTTGTAGCTAAAGAGGTGTATATTGCACAACACTATCGGTGAAGCTACGCATTTGAAATTTGAGTGCATTCTGGTCACATTGTGTGCTTTTTCAGATGCAGTTTTCTCGACTAGGTCTGCTATTAGCCCAAAATGATCTGTAACACAGTGGAGGTAGTTACATAGAGATGACTGTTAAATGTATCAGTGGTTCTTGATCTGCAGCCCAAACAGCACAAAGCTGTACATGTGACATCCCCAGGACCATACAGCACGAGAGGCCCACAACAGTAAATAGTTTGAGAACCGCTGCTAAATGGTTTAAACAAGCACCTTGAACCACCCACAGCTCTTGCCATTTAATATAAGATAATCTTCCCCATAGAAGTTAAAACTTAAATATTCAGTATGTGGCATTTGTGTGTGTTGTTCATGAATTTCAGTTGCTGAACTTGAATCTCTAATACAGCAACTGTGTAAAGCAGTAAGTGAAGGAAATTGTAGTTAATTGAAAGTTCTGGGGTGCTTTTCTCCTACATATGTTTTTCCGTAGAAATAAAAACTAATCTTCTGCTTTCAGAAAAAGGTTGGAGCTGTTCAGAGAATGTACTTGTGGCTTCTTGTCCGTATAAATTTGTAATGAGTTTGGATTCTAAGGCTGGACATAGTGTACTTAGAATTGATTGATATAGTATTAGAGAGAATGTAAAGGGAACACATTGCAATAATAGATTGGACTTTCCTGGTCCGGCACCCCCAGGACCTGAGCAGTCTCGAACCGAGCAGTTTGCCGAACTAGGGAAAGTCAGTGCTTGCCTCCTGGCCCCACTCCTGGCCTCCAGATCTGCGGGCTCTGCCCCTGTTAAGCAGGGCTCCTGGCTGCAGGCCCCTCCTAGCACTGGGGCTAGACCTTCTCAGCCAGCACCTTCCCATCCATCTGGGCCTTTCAGCTGTCTACCAACTGCAGCCAGTCCAGCTGGGGACTTCCTGACTACTGCCGGCCTCTCCGCAGCCGGTCCGGCTGGCCAGGAGTTTCAAGGCCACTGGCAGTCTCTCTGCCTTTGTTGACCCACCAGCCCCCCCTGATGCTAGCCTCCCAGTGGGCTCTGGGTAGCAACATCCTGGACCATGGATAGAGCTGGAGCAGAGAGTCCTGGATTTCAGAGGTGCAATCTGAACTTATTTTACTAGCAAAACATGGTATAGAGCAAGAATATTTTAAAAATATTGTGTGTAGGACTTTATATTTCAGTATCTCTTTGTAAGATATTAAATGTACAATGTTGAGAAATGTAGTTAAGCAATGATCTTGTACCCTCCAGACATACAATTTTTGCCTGTCATTTGACACAGCACCTTTTTTTGAGCATTACAGCTATCTGGATTTCAATTTGTTAATACGAGGAAAGCGATTGTGATGGAAATCTTCACCCTGATTTTGGTCCATTTATGCTGAACGAAAAAGGGCACTTTTCTTGCAGAGTTGCAGTGGGGATGGCTGCCAGGACCGACATAAGCTGGGACTGAGCCAGCTTGCCTGCCCGTTGGCTCCCAAACTACTTTCAGTGTGGAGCCACTTATTGGGTAATTGTGTAACTGACAAAATATTTGTTGGCTACATGGTTACCAGTGTACATGCAATTTAATATCCCTAATTTTAAAGTCCCCACACAGGACTGCATAAATTCAGTGCAGCATTGTGGCACGTTGTGTGACCTGAGGTGGTGGCTGTAATTTAGACAGACCTCATGGCTGTCCAAGCATATGTCTATAATACACCTTCAGTTGGGCCATATCAGCTGAGTTAGGCTCAGGGGGCCGATGCTACGGAGCTCTAAAATTGCAGTGTAGCTGCAGTCCATGCCTGAACGTCTGTATTGCAATTGTATTGCTCCTCAGCTTAAGCCTATAGGAACATAAGATCCATCCCCTGTCGTCCATTCCCAGCTTCTGACAAACAGAACCTGCTGGCAATGTTGAATTGCAGAGTAGACATACCCTAAGTTAGGTCATGGGCCTCTATACCTTACCAGCCCAGCATCAGGTTTATGTGGTTTAAAGCTCCCTTAGCCTTCCCTCCCTCCTCTCCTCTGGCTGCAAGTTGTGTGCTTTGCCTCTTAGGGTATATTTACACTGCAATCTGGATATGTGATTGCTGCATATATAGCAGTGTTGTCTTGGCATCATGGGCTTTGGCACGGGTTGTACAGCCCACCTGCAACCCTAAGTATGTATTTAGGAAGCTAGCTCATACAGACGTCTGTGCTGATGGAGCTTCATTACTGTTTGTATCTAAGATATTAATTTAAAGCCAGGGCAGGTATGTCTGTATGTGCTGCAGTCACACCTCTGATTGCAGTGTAGATGTAATCTTTGAGCTGCATTAAAATATCTCGTATGGCATGTCTGTAGATTTTTATAACTATGTATGAGTGCTAGAACATTGAGGAATGCTTTGGATCCATAGGTTTGGTAAATTGTGCTTTATTACTTGTAATTATCATGTTTGAAGAACGATTTTCCTTATTTATTTTCTTAGGCGCAGTTATTTAAACATGGCAAGAGAGATGATTGTTTACCATATGGTAAGGCTCATATATTCTGTGATATTTATTCGTAGGGGGGGAAACTATTATCAGTTCAAGGAGTTAGGAGAATGTATTTAAAAAATGTTGTATGTAGACCACTTTAGTGCTTTTTAGGTAAGATCTTAAGCTCCTATATTATGTAGGCTTACAGCAGCCTGACTGAGACATTCTTCTTAATTCAGTATTAAATACTCTTCTTTCTGATCACTAATCCTAGGCTAGTGTTTGGGAAAATTTTCCTGGTTATGAAAACATTTGTTTTGGGCTATTACAGTAATTCTAGACTTGGCATATTGATCCTTAAAATTGTCATGAGTTTCCCAACTTGAATTGACATGATTTCTGCACTCTCTGCCTAGAACAGCTAGGGGTATATCTAGACTAAGCTTTTTTTCCGAAAGGAGATATGCAAATTTGGTGCTAATTTGCATATCTTCCAATTGCTTTTTCAAAAGCGGGTTTTTTGAAAGTGAAAGTAGTCTGGATGTGTTTTTTAGGGGGGAAAAACCCCTTTTTTGAAAAACTGTACAAACCTTTTTTTAGGAAGAGCATTTTTTTCGAAAAAGGGTTTTTTTCTGAAAAAAACGTATCCAGACTTTTACTTTTGAAAAACCCATTTTCAAAAAAGTGATCAGAATAAGATATGCAAATTAGTGCCAAATTTGCATATCTCCTTTCAAAAAAAAATCCCGTAGTCTAGATTCTAAGATTAATTGTTAATGCTGTTGTAAAGCTGGAATGATCCCAGCCATTCAGAAGGCATAAAGTATTAATTTCTGTCATTTGAAATAGAAACCACTAAAACCATGGTAGAATTAAAGGTAGTGATTGGAAAGGTGTGTCTTTTAAGAAACAAATTTGAAATTTATCAGGGCTAGAAATAGATGCTTTATTCCATTTGAAAGTCAGGAACATATAGATGGCTTGCAAATGGGATTTTGAACTGTTACTGTTAGGTCCAGGGATTGGTATCTTTTTAAAATGTGATCACTCTTATGCAGGACTAATAAAACAAGTTGGAGAACTCTTAAGCCAGTGTAATGTTTAAATCTTTACACTTGTAGCACTTTCTATAAGAGTTAAGATTGTCAGTTAATCACAGTTAATGCATGTGATCAACTCAAAACAAATTAACACTTTTTAGAAACTATTGTTAATTGCACACTTATTTATGTTACTGGAATGCTGTAGGTTTTTTCTTTGTTGCATTCTGAGTAGCTTTTTCTCATTGCTTGGGATTAATGTGTTCCATATTTAATTTGGCAGTTACATAGCAGATTTCAGTGTAAATTAAAGCCCTGTGTCACATCCCATTTTCCATCATACTTGGGAGGCACCATACCTCTGGGGAAGGGGTGCCCCTCCTCTGGCTGCCTTACTCTTGCCTCCTCACCACTGTTTGTGGAGATGCCCCAGCCAATCTGTTCTGGACCAAGAGCCTGTCTGCTGAGTGTGGTGGGGGACAGGAGGGCTGATGTCAGCTTGTCCCTCCTGCCCGCCCATGTACTGACTGGCACCTTAGGAGTGAGTGCTCACCAGCTCAAAAGTGTTTAGGCTGCTGAGTGCTCTGCTTCAAGAGACAGTGCTCCCCCAACATGCACACGCTTTCCCCATAAAAATATTTAAATAAATAGCATTCAAACTATTATTGTTTAACAGTGCAATTAAAACTGTGATGAATCACAACTTTTAAAAAATCTTATTAATTTTTTAAATAATTCGACATCCCTGTGAAAAATGAAGCTGCATGAAAGAGTTACTTGTCCATATTAATCGCTTCTTAGGGTCTTGCGTCAAAGCATTCAGTAATCATTTCAGGTTACAAATATAGTGACTTTGTTTTTATTTGTAATAAAAAATGGAATCTCTACCTTGATGAATCACAACTTTTAAAAAATCTTATTAATTTTTTAAATAATTCGACATCCCTGTGAAAAATGAAGCTGCATGAAAGAGTTACTTGTCCATATTAATCGCTTCTTAGGGTCTTGCGTCAAAGCATTCAGTAATCATTTCAGGTTACAAATATAGTGACTTTGTTTTTATTTGTAATAAAAAATGGAATCTCTACCTTGACCCCCCGTAAAGCCAAAATGATTTAGTAATAGAACCAGATTTTAAGATTTGGGTTTCCTGGTTCACAGTCTGTTGCTCAAGCCATTAGACCACCTCCTTTGTTATAATTATGCTTATTATGTATTAAACATTTGTCATGTCATTATATTGATGGGCAGCAATACAAGACTGTAAGGTAGATGAATTAGATGAAGACACTGTAAATAAGATTGAACTTTGTAACAGAAGCATTTTTGTTCAGCACATTTACTTTCTCTTTTACAGCTTCTACTGTACTCGAATGCCTTGATAATTGCAAGCTGTCAGAAAGTAACCAGACGCTTCTTCGTAAACTAGGAGTGAAACTTGTTCAGCGACTTGGATTGACGTTTCTAAAACCAAAGGTGGCAAAGTGGAGGTTGGTGAAAGGAGATCAAGCAAACTTACGTTCATTAGTCCTTTAACAGAATAGGATTTTGAAATTCAGACTCACTTGTATAGAGTTTGATGAGTAAGAAAACTGTACATGTTAACTTGATTACAAGATTGTCTGAACATTGAAATTAGACAGATATCCTTCATTTATGGTACTAGAATGTTGTAGGTCTTTTGTTTGTTGCATTCTGAGTAGCTTTTTGTCATTGCTTGGGGTTAATGTGTTCTATATATAAGTTAGCAGTTATATAACAGATTTCAGTGTAAATTAAAGCCCTATGATACATTCCTTTTTTGTTATATATATATATATATATAATACAAGCATAAAAACATTCACAGAAAAGTTCTCCATTGTAGAGCATGTTACAAAGATGGAAATAGAGTGGCCATATCACCAAGGTTGTTTTTAGTTCAGTGTAGTAGATAAGTTATGCCCTATATTACAGAATTCTTACTCTCTGAACAAATTTAGTGCCCATTTGGAAAAACAGCTATTCATAAACCTGCATTTTTTAGTTTAACAGTTTAGCCAAATGATATTATCTTTTCTCTGGTGCCTGGTTTTATTTATTGCCATAGGGTAGACTCTTTTTTTCAGATTTCTCGCACTGATATTTTAAAATTGTAGGCTTTCTTGTCAGCTATTTTTATCATTTTGGATTGTATCTTTCACCTTTGAGAGAGTCCCTAGGCTTAGGAAATTCTTTCTAGCTGTAGAATGTTTCCCCCTCATTGCTAAAAACATCTACTTGTTTAGCAAGGTGAATACTTTCACTTGATTGCATATTTAGTTTTTTTCTAAATTGCACAAATGGTGGTAGTAGTGGCATTCAGCAAATTGAAAATGTTCAATTTTAAAATTAACCTTAAAAGACAATCTCAGCAATAGAAGACAATTTTATGTTTTAGCTTTATTTTAGTCTCTAAGATATTTTTTTAATCCTTCAGTTAATCAATTTCCCTTTTTTATATCTTTCCCTTTTACTATCTTAAGAATTTGCTTTCAGTGGTAAGAGTCAAAAATTGCTGTCTCTCCACATCCTTGAAAGTTGATGGGAGCAGGAAATTCACATTCAAGTGCAGAACTTATGCCTAGTTTTATTAATTTTAAACTGAGATGTTAGATGTAATAACATTATTTGCTTCGTTTTGTGTACAGAGATTACAAACAGCTCTCATATGAAGAATAATATTGTGTTGCATATGTCTGTACAAAAAGTTATGCTGTCAAATGTGTAGTGGAAGAGTGGGGAACCTTTTTTGGGTCGGAGGTCTTCTGATCCAAAGATAAATCAGTCTGGGGGCTACACACAAGTGAAAAGCAAAAAACAACCCTCCCCCACAAAAAAGCCCACTGACTTGGCCCCCGACTGAGGGAAAAGACACTCCCCACATTTAGCTTTTTCCATGGCTAACTTCTATCTAATTTACTTCTAATAATAATAAAATGGATTGATATGAAAAAGTTCTAGTGTACAATCCCATAATTCTTTATCTTTTTCTCATGTTTTCCATGATTTTCAAGCACCATGAAATGCCAAACTAACCAAGCTTTGAAGTGAAAGTTGTCTGAGATACTGGAGTATAAAATTTCTGATTAAAAATATGGGAAAAGTTTGTGTCTGTGCTTGAATAAGTGAAAAAGTGAAGTTACATTACAGCTAAGACCAAGCATGGAAAACTACTGCCTAAAGGAAGCTTATTTCAGAAAATTTTGAGCAAATGACTGAAGATTAGAATGGAATTGGGAGGTCAACTGTAACTATAGGGAGGCTCTTTTGGTCTTTTATAATGCGTTGCATTTGTTGTGTGGCTTTCTTAACAAAGAAACTTTGATCACATAATAAATGTAAACCGACAAAACTCCTGTAGGAGTCACTTCACTTCCTGCCAGTTAAGTCTATGTCTGAGGTAGAATCTGGCAGTTGTTTTACAAGGCACAACAATTCAGTGCAGGAAGTTTTGATAAACACTGTCCACATGAATTGAGATGGGGAATTTGAGGCAGATAGTAGTCATTAACTTTTAATTTTTCTAAGATGCTGGAGTTAACTAACTGCTCTTCCTATAGGTGACATGCAATCTTAATTCTAATTATTATTTTTTCTATAAATCAATTATCCTACACTATGAACGTACAAGGAGACTTAAAGCCAACAAAAAGATATGGCCCCTTTCTTAAGAAACTCAGTCCATTTGAGATAAATGCATGATTTAAAAAGTAAATGGTGGGGAAAAGAAGAAAATTATAAGCTCTCAAATGTTCTTGTCTTTTGCATGTTTGGGGTTCAAATGTGGAATAGAGCTAGATAGATTCATTGGAGGTTAGGTCCATCAATGGCTATTAGCCAGGATGGGTAGCCTGTGTTTATCTGGAAATGGGTGACGGGATGGACGACTTGATGATTACCTGTTGTATTCACTCCTTCTGGAGCATCTGGTATTGGCCACTGTTGACAGACAGGATACTGGGCTGGATGGAGTTTTGGTCTGACCCATTATGCCTGTTCATAGAATCCTAGAGCTGGAAGAGACCTCAGAAGGTCATCAAGTCCAGCCCCCTGCTCTAGGCAGGACCAATCCCAACTAAATCAATCCAGCCAGGGCTTTGTCAAGCCAAGACTTAAACACCTCTAGGGATGGAGACTCCACTAGGTAACCCATTCCAGTGCTTCATCACCCTCCTAGTGAAATAGTTTTTCCTAATATCCAACCTGGACCTCTCCCACCACAACTTGAGACCATTCCTCTTTGTTCTGCCATCTGTAACTACTGAGAACAGCCTCTCTCCATCCGCTTTGGAAGCTCCCTTCAGGAAGCTGAAGGCTGCTATCATATCCCCCCTCACTCTTCACTTCTGCAGACTAACCAGACCCAACTCCCTCAGACTCTTATCATAGGTCATATGCTCCAACCCCCTAATAATTTTGGTTGCCCTCCGCTGGACCCTCTCCAATGCATCCACATCCTTTTTGTTGTGGGAGGCCCAGAACTGGACACAATACTCCAGATGTGGTCTCACCAGAGACGAATATAGGGGAATAATGACATCTCTGGATCTGCTGGAAATGCTCTTCTTAATGCAACCTAATATGCCATTAGCCTTCTTGGTTACAAGGGCACACTGTTGACTCATATCCAGCTTCTCATCCACTGTAACCCCCAGGTCCTTTTCTGCAGAACTACTACTTAGCAGGTTGGTCCCCAGCCTGTAACAATGCTTGGGATTCTTCCATCCCAAGTGTAGGTCCTTGCTGAACCTCATGAGATTTCTTGTGGCCCAATCCTCCAATTTGTCTAAGTCACTCTGGCCCCTATCTCTGCCCTCAAGTGTATCTACCTCTTCCCCCTAGCTTAGTGCCATCTGCAGACTTGCTGAGGGTGCAATCCATCCCCTCATCCAGGTCATTAATAAAGATGTTGAACAAAACCGGTCCTAGAACCGAACCTTGGGGCACTCTGCTGGAACCCGACCGCCATCTTGACATGAAGCCATTGATCACTACCCACTGGGCCTGGCCTTCTAGCCAGTTTTCTATCCATCTTACCGTCCATTTATCCAAGCCACATTCCCTTAACTTGCTGGCAAGAATGTTGTGGGAGACTGTATCAAAAGCCTTGCTAAAGTCAAGGTATATCACATCCACTGACTTTCCCATGTTCACAGAGCCAGTTACCTCATCATAGAAGCTAATCAGATTGGTCAGGCACGACTTGCCCTTTGTGAATCCATGCTGAGTATTCCTAATCACTTTCCTCTCTTCTAAGTGCCTCAAAATGGATTCCTTGAAGATCCCCTCCATGATTTTTCCATGAGCCTAGGTAAGACTGCCCAGCCTATAGTTCCGTGAATCGTCCTTCTTCCCTTTTTTGAAGATGGGCACTACATTTGCCTTTTTCCAGTCATCCTGGATCTCTCTCGATCTCTATGAATTTTCAAAGATAATGGCCAAAGGCTCCTCAATGACATTTGCCAACTCCCTCAGTACCCTTGGATGCATTAAATCTGGACACATGGATTTGTGTACGTTTAGCTTTTCTAAATAGTTCCTAACCTGTTCTTTACCCATCAAGGGCTAGAATGGCCGTACTGGGTCAGACCAAAGGTCCATCTAGCCCAGTATCCTGTCTGCCGATAGTGGCCAGCACCAGGGTCCCCAGAGAGGGTGGATCAGAGACAATGATCAAGCGATTTGTCTCCTGCCATCCTTCTCCAGCCTCTGACACACAGAGGCCAGGGACACCAATTCTATCCCCTGGCTAATAACCTTTTATGGACCTAACCTCCATGAAATTATCTAGCTTCTCTTTAAACTCTGTTATAGTCCTAGCCTTCACAGCCTCCTCTGGCAAGGAGTTCTACAGGTTGACTACACGCTGTGTGAAGAAGAACTTTCTTTTATTAGTTTTAAACCTGCTACCCATTAATTTCATTTGGTGTCCTCTAGTTCTTCTATTATGGGAACTAATAAATAACTTTTCTTTATCTGCCCTCTCCACACCACTCATGATTTTATAGACCTCTATCATATCCCCCCTCAGTCTCCTCTTTTCTAAACTGAAAAGTCCCAGTTGCTTTAACCTCTCATATGGGACTCGTTCCAAGCCCCTAATCATTTTAGTTGCCTGTTTCTGAACCCAACTCAAGCCTCCCACCCCTAGGCAACACTTAGCGATTCATATGGGAACATTTCTGGCTGTTCCCTTTCATTAGGGAGCAAGGAGAAAGTGCACAGTCTTCTGCATTCCTCATTCTGCTTGGGGAGCACAGGGGGCAGGCGACCCTGGATCTATCTCAGCAGGGGGACAGGCACCCCTCTTCTGGCTGTTCCTCCTGGAGCTGCAGCAGCCATAGACAGATGCTTCTCTTCTGGCCCCAAGATGCTGCAATGAGAGAGGGCTGGGGTTGTCCTCTCTCTCTAGGTTAGACTGCATACTGAACCCCTCATCCCCAGCTCTGCCCCCAAGGAATGATTTAAATGAAGCATGTACATTTTCATTTTTTTCCAGAAAGCAAACATTAATGAGTTAAGGACCCAATGCTGGGTAAATCATCTGGTACAACACACACATGGTTTTCTTTTCCTACTAAAATAGTGTTTTCCCACAGTAGTTAAAAATACTGCTGTGAAAATGTACTACACTGAGAGAAGGTTTGAGGATGGCATATGCTATGTTCAAGGATTAACTGGGTAGGCACAAACTTAGACAAAAATTGCAAATGAACGTTGTTTCTTGTAACAGGTATCAACGTGGCTGTAGATCTTTGGCCACCAACCTGCAGTTTTCTGGTCAGGGTGCAGTTGCACAGAATCTAGTAACTGCTGCTGTTGCTGCTGCTGCTGATGTTGAAGAGGAGTATGACATTCCGGGAGAGGTTGAGAATGTTATAGGTGTGTTGGATTCAAACTGAAATTACTTCTTTAGCCAGCTGACATTACAACTCGCAACAACCTGGGATGGACTTACGAAAGAATTATGGTTACACAAATTGTTGGTAAAGTAATGTAGAAAATTATAATATGACGTATCTGTATATAATTGGATAAAGTTCACCGTATTTTTTTAAACTATGCCATGGTTTTCCGCATGCCACTTTTCCCATAAACAAGAATGAAAAATGTCCATGTGTAAAAATAACAATTTTACTTTGAAACACACTTGCCCCGTCTTATTCAATTATGTGACTCGGGGTCTTTCTGTTTTTGGAGGTGGACAGAGTGAATTGTATTTAAAAGGTTCAAATTGTATTCAAATAAAGTTAAAGGCCTGCAGAAGGTCTAGTGATTGAGATATGTAGGGATTAACAGCAGTAATGGGCTCACAGCACTTGGAAATGTAATAAGCCACTCAACATACCTAATTTTGTTTAGAAGTGTATGCTACTTATTTTATTTAAAAAATACGAATACTGCTGCTATCAGTGTGTCGTCATTGATCTCATGGTAGGTATTCATAAGCCTCATACATGCAAATTGGACTCTTTTGAATAGCCATGTCTAAGTATGGCTTACCCACTAAATTCCACATCCTAATGACATAAATAGCCAAGCACTGGGTACTTAAGAATACTTAGAACCCACTCTATCAGTTTCCTTTAGCATGAACACTCTAATTGACAATTTTCCCCCCATTTTTTCCCTCCCCATCCCCGCTTTCTCTGCTGTTTATTTTGCAACCTGGACCCCTTAAATGCATTCTCTGCAGAACAATTATTGGTTGGATTGAAAGACAAAGACACCATAGTTCGATGGTCTGCTGCAAAAGGGTAGGTTTCTTTTATTTAATTTTCAACTAATCAATTAGCACAACAGAATGTCACCCAGGTTAAATAATTGTATGTTGTTTTCTCAGTGTTACCTATTACTTATGATCGTTGCAGCACAAGTTATGACACGTAGCCCATGTCTCCTAGTATTCTTGGATGGAGGTGGAAGCTGAGGCAGCCAACTAGGAAATTTTAACCAGGGTTGGGATTGGAATGATGTGAAATGATTTATTTTAGGTCTCTTTTTGCAATACTGTTTCTTCCCAGTTTGCTGATCCATATTTTCTTCTTTTCCATTTGAAAATCTTATTTTTTTGCTAGGCAGGTTTTGTAGCTTTTTAGCTTCTAGTCACACTAGGACACAAATGTTGAACAGAGTTGAAATAATGTGTTGTTATCTGTAGTTTGAATCTTGTTATCTGAGTGTAAATGTTTATCTTAAATTACTGTCATTAGAAAATCACTGTTCTTCTCTTTTTGCAGGGTTGGCAGAATAACTGGAAGGCTTCCAAAAGAGTTAGCAGATGATGTAGTTGGGTCTCTGTTGGACTGCTTTAGGTAATTTTTGTATATGTGCAGTGGCTTGCATCCTTGGATTTTAAAAGGCTCCTATGCTTTGTATATCATTTCACAGCTGTCACATGGCCATTTCTGGAGTGGGAGGGCAATATTTAGGCAGATAACTGGTCCAGAGCACACGTAAAACAATAAGGAGTTTTGGAATTTTGGTCAAGGGCACTGTGGTAAATTCCTATTGAATCTTTAATGGCCATGCAAGTTTGAACCTTTTAGGGTCTAATAAAAAGAGTAAAGCAGAATTTTGAGGTGATTTGGGCTGCTTAGACTAAGCTTTTCATGACGTATCTGTGTTCAAGTTATGATATGCCGTATATATAAATTAATTTGGTGGCCTTTCCCATCATACTCTCTAGTGAATATTTTTCCACACAACAAATTACGTAGGCATCGTTTGCTGTGATTTGCAGTGTGGCATGTTTCAGGTCAGGAGTGAGATAAATTGGCAGAGTAGTATAAGGAAATTTGAATAGTGTCATCCTACGCTGTGGCTCTGGCTAGTACTGATGTTATTTCATGTTCACGAATACCACAAAATTGATTCGCGAGTATGAAAAGAAAAAAAGAATGTATTCTTTTACAGATAAGAGCAGAATTGTTGCATATGTAAAAACTAAATTGCTATGAAACCCTTTTCTTCCCATTATCCTGAAGTTGTCTGTTGTGTTTTAAAAACACCAGAAAAGGGAGAGGAGCACATGCATGGTTGGTTTTACACATTACCTGTCTTAAAGTTAAACATTCAGAAGTAATGGTTGCTTTCTTGAGGTAAAAGTATATGACCATGGTTGTCTTGCTAAATACTGCATCAGCATTTTGCATACAAATCCATACATACCTTTTGTTACTAAACCTAGACGAATTTGCAAGCCTTTAACCAATACTAAATGTTCCTCCTTAGATATGTGTTTTCTTGTATGTAGCCTTCAGCATGTCCAGGGACAATTTAGAGTGTAGTAACTGTATGTCAGATGTTGGCTTGGGGAATAGCATAACTAGGAAATTCTTACCATGTTTTATTCATAGTGGGAGAATTCAAATAAAGAAATATCTAAGAATGGAATAACAGTAGGTCAAAAGATACTATGGGTGTATGATTGGAGGGTACACCCAGGCAGTTGGTTTGCTGCACGCTAGAACATTGTAGCTTTATTTAGCTTGTTGCATACTAAATAGACATGTCCTTTGTGCATATGGAAACAATCTTCCCTGGTTTTGTTTTTTGAATATTGCAATAGATTTGGAAATATTTTATACTCAGATAATCTCACTCTGGGAATGAAGTACTGGATGTATCTTTTAAAATCTCTGAGGATGCTCAAAAACTGTTAGCATTATTGGTCTTAGAGAATGTCAGCAAAAATACATTTTTCTACATATTTTTATCTGCTTCAAGAAGGGGTATGTGTGCAAACCACATTATATATTACACTTTGGACCAGAGAGCAATGAAGAAAAGAAGAAGAAAAAAAAGAGGAACTAATTAATACTTATGGTAGATGCTACCTTTTTGCTATGTGAGCTACAAATTCTGCGATTCTTTTCCCTCCCTCCATCAATTTTTTTTTTAAAACCATCATGATAGTTGACATTCTGTGGGTTGTTTTCTTTTTGACCTGTGCATTAATGTGATACTAAGCATGTGAACCAGTTTGACTTAGACTCTTGAGCTGCACAATTAAACTATCCAGCTTGGGTGGCTAAGCAACCACACTCTGTCAACAAAAAGAACCAGACCAGTGAGATGTTTCATGGCTCCAGGGTTAGAAAGCTTCACCTTCCTTCAAGTTCTTTTTTTCTTTTTTTTAGTTACAAAACCTAACCCCAAAACATTTCAGAAATCACACTGAGAGATGGGCTTGGGTAGGGCAGTTATGTAGCTGTTTGTTAACACTAGACAAGCATTAGTTAATTATATTTAACTGAACTTAAGTATTCACAACACTTAATTTTGCGTGTTACTGATTTGTACTTTACTTTTCTTTTTTCAATTATTTTCCTGTGGTTTCTCCCAAACTACTAGAACAAAAATGCTTAGTTAGGGTGGTTGATACAGTGCTGGAGTATTGACTTCAGCCAGCAGTGGCAATAATTCTAGCATTATTTGGCTGATCTCCTCTGAGATTGGTTTAGAACAGATACATAGAAAACACTTCCTCTGTTTTTGTATTGTAACAAGGAAAATGCCACGGGGAACCATCCAGTAGGTACACGTACATTTTGCACTAGTGAATATAACTAGACTTTATGTAGAGGTCAGGTTTTGTACAAGGATAGAGATAAGATATTCCAGGTTATCTAATTGAATAAGAGTCACTTGAGTCAGTATGAAATATGAAGAATTTCCATGACAAAGGTTCAAATTTAGAGAGCCAAATTTATATATTTCAAATCCTTGCTTTTTAACACTTTTGATAAACAATAAAATCCATGAAAAAACTGATTTCAAGATTTATGCTTGTTGGAAAATGGATCAGCGAGATTGTACTAGTGATACTGGTCTGGAATGGATCATAGTCTGCCTTGGCATGGGCCATTGAGAAAGCATCATGTCAACTGAAGTTCCAGCCCTGGTACTGAATACAGACATCATTTTGAATTGGCCATTAATGTACTGTTTCATCACCTGCTTCCAGTTGTCTTTGCTGTGATGCCACATAATCTGGGCAAAAAAAGATATTTATAGTGCTGCTGTATTGACTTTTGGGCTATTGTGGAAATGAAGATGAATCTGATGGCCATGATTACTGAGAGATGAGGAGCAACTTTGGTGCTGTTGTGGTGGGTGTCCGCTATAGACCACCAGATCAGGTGGAAGAGGTAAACAAAGCTTTCTTCAGACAACTAACAGAAGCTTCCAGATCACAGGCCCTGGTTCTCACAGGGGATTTCAATCACTATGACATCTGCTGGGAGACGAATACAGCAGTACACAGATAATCCAGGAAGTTTTTGGAGAATATTGGGGACAACTTCCTGGTACAAGTGTTGAAGGAAGCAACTATGGGCCATGCTCAGCTTGATCTGCAGCTCACAAACAGGGACTGGACTTCAGAAAGGCAGACTTTGACTCCCTCAGGGAATTGATGGGCAGGATCCCCGGGACACTAGCATGAAAGGGAAAGGAGTCCAGGAGAGCTGTCTGTATTTTAAAGAAGCTTTATTGATAGTGCAGAAACAAACCATCCTGATGCTCAGTAGGAAAAGCAAATATGGTAGGCAACCGGCTTGGCTTATCAGTGAAATCATTCTCGAGCTTCTTCACAAAAAGGAAGCTTACAAGAAGTGAAAACTTGAACAGATGAGCAGTGCTTGGGATTCTTCTGTCCCAAGTGCAGTTTGGCAGAAAAGGACCTGGGGATTACAGTGGATGAGAATCTGACTAAGTCAACAGTGTGCCCTTGTAGCCAAGAAGGCCCATGGCATGTTGGGGTGCATTAGTTGGAGCATTGCCAGCAGACCTAGAGAACGATTATTCCTCTTCGTTTGGCAGTGGTGAGGCCTCATGTGGAGTATTGCATCCAATTCTGAGTCCCCCATTACAAAAAGGATGTGGACACATTGGAGAAAGTCCAGCAGAGGGCAACAAAAATGATTTGAAGCACATGACTGATGAGAAGTTGAAGGATTTGGGCTTTTTTAGTCTCCAGAAGAAGTACAGGCAGTCCCCGACTTACGCGGATCCGACTTATGTCGGATCCGCACTTACAAACGGGGCTTTCTCACCCCGGAGCTCGCAGGCAGCGATCCGCCACCTCGACCTCCGGGGCGAGAAAAGCTGCTCCCGGTGCCCCTGGTCTGCTGGAGACTGTCTCCAGCAGACCAGGGACACCGGGAGCGAAGCCGCAGCCACGGTGGGGTCCCGCGCCTCTGAGGTTTTGCTCTGGCTCATGTAAGATCTCCTGTCATACTTTTTATCTTTCCTATGCAGTGGAATAGTTTGCTTTTGGGCCCTTATTAATATCCCTTTAAAAAAACTGCTAATTGGGAATGTGTTACTGCTTCTGAGCTGGAGGAGGCCTTGCCTTCGTACTGCTTTGTGTTGGCTGCAGGGACATATCTTTATTTCCACTTCTACTCAGTCATAGCAAGGCGCATCCTGTTCAGATGAAAGGACCAGGTAACCCTATCTCACATAAGTAGAACCCTACCAATTTCATGGCCATGAAAAATATGTCACGGACTGTAAATACTTCCCTGGGAAATCTGATGTCTCCTTGTTCCTAGGAGTATCCCATCAAAGGGGGCTTCCTAGCTCAGACTGGGCAATGGAGAGACAGGACTTGTCTATCTCCTGCATTAGCTGCTGGGGTAAGGAGAGACCAGACAGATCTTGGTCCTGTAGCACCAAGGAGAGGAGGCGCTCCTGGACCAACCCAGCAGCACCCCAGCTGCTCTGCCCCAGGCATCCCCAAGTCAGTCGCTGTTGAAACTGGTCAGTTTCAGCAGCAGCTGAATCTGGACGCCAGTTCCGACTTACATACAGATTCAACTTAAGAACAAACCTACAGTCCCTATCTTGTACGTAACCCGGGGACTGCCTGTAGTAGTAGTGGTGGTGGATAGCGGGGTTTGACAGCAGCCTTCATTTGTCTGAAGGGAGATTCCAAAGAGGATGAAAAGTGGTGGCTGATGTTAGAACAAGTGATAGTGCGGGAGATCTAAATTGGATATTAGAAAAAACTATTTCATTAGGAGGGTGGTGAAGCACTGGAATGGGATACCTATGGAGGTGGTGGAATCTCCATCTCTAGAGATTTATTATTAAGTCCTGGCTTGACAATGCTCTGGCTGGGATGATTTAGTTGGGGTTGGTCCTGCTTTTTGCAGGGGGTTGGAATCGATGACTTCCTCAGGTCTCTTTGAACTCTATGATTCTGTGACTGTGTAGAAAGGGTTCTGTGTGGACATTACACAGGCAAAGGAGACTAGTTTTGTAAGAGCTTCTCTTGCGAATGAGTGAAGCAAGGCAGCCTTTTAAA